ATAACTCCTACACGGAAACCGATCAGGCTACTCTGAAGAAATTGTTCCAAACCCAATAGTGGCAGAGAAGAGAATGAGACCGGGCATCGCTTCAATCATTGTTACTCACAAAAAACTGAGATGAAGAATCAATATGTTTGACCCATTTAAATCGGCGCGACCTGGCGGTCTCTTCATGGCCCTTCTTCGGGAGGCAGGAGATATCATAATGGGACCCCTGTACCAAATTGCTGGTGGGTCCTTGCCCCTGGGATATATAATCATACAGATACACATAATGAGCAGATATACGCAGATATACATTTCCGTCACGTATAGTGATGTAATCAAAAATGATCTTAGGTCTTAGGTATATTGCTACCATTTTTAGAAACGTGCGGATTTTGATTAATTTTCTTAGTTTAAAGTAGGTACTTTTGGATATGCAATCCTAAAAACTAAATTAAAATTCTATTTTGTAAGTAACCTACTAGAAACACGGTCATAAAACGGCCATTCGCAAAAAATGGCATGTAGGTACTTAGGTACATATTGTTATTTTGTTTTAATGAGATCATGGCAACCTAATTCAGTGGCGTATTTATATGAACGAACAAAATAAATAAGTGTAATAAATATAAATAAGTTTATTCTTCAAAAACTCCCAATGCTTCAACAACGAAAACAAATAACGCAAAGAGCAAACAAAGGGAACAAAAACTATCCATTATCGGAAAAAATATCTTCTTCCGAGTCTGACTTGTGCATATCGATAACATTGAACTGAGGTGGCTTTTACTTAATGAAAATCCATTTATCAAAATAAATAAGAACTAAAAGTTGAGATTTTCACGAAATTATATATTATGACATGACAATTGTTTCGACAACACCGTGTCTTTATCAAATGTCACAATCACATTTGATAAAGATACGGTGTTGTCGAAACAATTGTCATGTCATAATATATAATTTCGTGAATATCTGAACTTTTAGTTCTTATTTATTTTGATATCGATAACAACTGGGAGAGTATTACATGTATCGATCAACTTTTCCATTTCCCAAGCCAGACTTATCAGGCGGTCTGAGTGCCTAAGATAGTTCCTGAATATCTGAAACAAAATATTATTATTATTTTACTTGAGCAAGTGCTTCAGTCCATAAACGCAATACTGTATCAGATGTTACGGGATTGATATAACCTATTTATATATGTATATTTTGAAATAATTTCAAACACCTAAGTGTTTTTCTTTGAACATCAAATTATGAAACTACATAATTAGATCCTAAGATCTAATTATGTAGTTTTCTGGCAAGTGTTGCTTCAGTAACAGCTGGTCTTTCATTATACTTGAGTGAAATGGAATATTGCAGTCACTATTGCTTGATCCAACTTTCATTAGCCATCGGCTCCGCAAGTTCACAGTGATACGTTGCGTTGACTCAACCCATTTTTAAAGTAAAAAAAAAATTACATAAGTTAGTTTTTTCTTAAAGCATATAGTACTGACAAAATGAGAGTTTCCGTGGATACAAACAAAACTAAAACTTTAATCTCGATTCATGGATGAAAAACAGTCTACTTTTCCCATAAAAAAGAAATACATCAAAAATTTCGGTGTTTTATTTAAAAATAAGAATGTCATACTCCACAAAGCCATTCTTAGAGCCGACATGTAAAACTATACAGCGAACTCCTTCACCATATTTTTTCCGAAAACCGTCTTGCCAGCTCTCTCTAGGCACTCATTTCCTAAACGTAGAAGTAATTCATGTGTTCTCTCAAAAATGTCAGTCGTTTATGAGCAATGCATAGTTGTTCCATCAGATATTTAAGGCTTGAAATTCTCCATTTTTTCCAACAAAATGTCAACATCATCACCATCAATTTCGTATAAATCTTTGCATAGCAATTGTACTGTGACATGTTCTCCTATAAAGGAGAGCAAGAAATTATTAAAATGAATTAATTTACCCACGAAGAAGCAATGCCACAAATTATATTGTTCATTTGAAAAAAGGAAACGTTTCTCTTTTTTTTTTTCAAACCTGCTGAGTACATTGTATAAATTCGTGTCCGTAGCTAGGCTCGTGGGGTGCTGCTGGGAGCCCTTACATCCTAGGATGAGGGTTGAGAGCGGCTCTTAGATTGCAGATTCTGGGAAACTGGAAGCTGCACACAGAGGGACACCGACAACTGCCATCTCTCTCAGACAGGAACCAAGATGCCCTCTTTATGACGAGGGACAGGCTTGAAGACACCCTTTGCTTCCAAAAACCATACAGAGCGAGGATTCTTACAAAGGGCGACTGGCTCTGTGCGGGAGAAAATATTCTTGTGCCTCATGGGTGAGTCTGGTATCAAGGGGGGGGGGGTCCAAAACTGGCACTGAAACGAGCTGGAGTATATGGCAGCTCTCCTAGAGCATTTTATTTAGCGATTTATCCCAATATATTCCAGATACTGGTGTGCGCTCGCGAAAACTTCAACAGAGGGTACTCGGACAAGCACATCAAGCGGCTGTCCAGATTCTTACCTCTGTGAAGGTGAGCTCAGGATTACTTTACTGCCGAAAAATAGTGTAACTGGCGGAATGTTATCCTATCAATCTGGTCTGGGTACCCGCTCATTGAGGACAACCAAATGGCAGGACCGGAATCTTCCGCTGGAATAGCAGACTGCGTGCTGAAGAATCCGCGGAATAAATGGATCGAGAAGCAGTTCGCTCTGCCCTGGAAAACTTTACCGAAACTGAGGGTTCTAATTGTGGGACCCTTTACGCCTCAGGATCGAATATGGTCTCTCAGTCTCAGTCGAGCGAATACTAACGCTAGTAGCAATCCTAATAAGACCGTGCCATCTAAGAAGGCACCTCCACATCATGGCAGCAGCTGCAGACTTTGGGCTTATACGGAGAGGAATTGAGAAAAGCAATATTATTTAAAAAAATAAAATTCCAGCGCGGTTTGTACCGGTATAACCGGAAGCGTCATCTTAAAAATATTTAAATGGATGACTCTGCCGCCGTGTTATCCCAAGTTACAAAATTTTTACTGATTGTAGGTGGTTATACCTATTTATGTTACTTTTTCCATAACACACTGACGAATACACTCTGGTATATTCTTTAGGTAGGAATTCAAACAAAATTTACAGATAGATTATCCTTCTTTTTTGGTCTGGAAACCTCATTCTTATTCTTAATAGTTTTAGTTTGTGTTTTGACCGATATTGTAAAAACTAAGCCAGAAGTTGTCTAAAGATAAAGAACCGTATATTACGCAACAGGTTGGGTAAACTTTCTAATTCACTTCGTTTATTAAACACTCGCTGTGCTGCGTTCCGCTCGTACCATATAAATTCGTGACTCGAATGACGTTTACCACACTTGTTGCATAATATAAAGTGTAAACGTCTGTTCGTTGTTGAAAAACAAAGTGTTTAAATTGCCCAAAAACTAATTTTCTTCCAAATATGTTCAAAAATTATTTTGAAAGAAGAAAGATTAATTCCGAAACCACTGTGAACAGACGTTTATATGCAAAGTTGTTTGGATCCACGTATACTTTAAAATATTTTGTGGACAACTAACAAATTTCACATTTTAACAGTGACAAAAAGAATTGCACCTCGATTATAAAAAAAAACGGTCACACAAGCTTCAAGGATGTGTGGCACAACCCTGCATTTATGCACCATCAGATCAGCTTGTATACGAAATAAACAAAAACAAAAATATACAAAAAATATATAACTATAAAACTAGAAACTAAACATATTTCATATATCCAATATCATATACCAAGTCCGACTGTTTCTAACGTATTTTGAATTATATGACAAAAGTGAACTTTGCAGGTCTAATTAGATCTATCGATTTCTCCGACTGGATGCCATTGTTATACCGGGTGGCGCAGAGTGGATGGCGAATTAGAAGTATCTGACGAACGGATCAACTTATTTATTTTAACTTATACAGTGTGATAAGTGGTAAGTGCTCTATCGTTCCAAAATCTCGAAAATATACGCATAAAATGAAGATTTTATTCAGATTTCCCTATTACTTATGTATTACCGTTATCGAAATAAAAAATAATTTCCTAGATTTTTAAGCAATTTGAAACCTTGAAGAAATTTTAATAGGTCCGTGTTCTAATTAACCGAAAAGCGGAACTTTTCCAAACAGTTCTTGGAAGGGCTCAGGCATTCTTTCCTTCTTTTCTGGTATACCATTTTTGATGGAACATCAGTTATTGAAGAACACCCTGTAAATTGCCAATTTTTTTCGTGTGCCTTACTGACATACTACCTTAAGACTTTCTTTTAATAATGAACTTTTCAAAAATATATGACACATATTTACTATTTCAAAGCATACATCTTCTTTTTTTTACCTGGCCATGGAAAAAAGGCGTCCGTTTTCCTAATATATGTACTTTAGTTGTCAAACGGTATTCACAAACTATGGGTATTTAATGTACACGCAAGTTTATTTTGACAGGTAATTAAATTATTTTAATAAATTATGTAAATTTTATTTGCCATAGCTCGTATGTGTTAGATATTTTTGTAAAGCTAATTGGAAGTCCACTAAAATAATTAAGAGTTACATTAAAAATCACATGTTTAGTTTATTAACCACAATTTGTGGTTTCAGAAAAAAACTAACATCACTGGATCCTACGTAAAAACGCTACCTTTCTCATAGATTAACGCATAACGGAGCTACAAAAGGTGTCTAAAACTGAAAAATTTGCTGAAGATTGCTATAACATTTCTGTTTGCGGCACCTTTCATTTGATTTAAAGTTTATAATAAGTGTTTCTAAGTCGATAGGACAATATTTAGGTGGTTAGGTGAAAAACTTATCCTAGTATACTCTTATTTCTATAGAGTTTTCTGGCATAAAAATTTAACCAAAGCATTTTTTCCCTAATTTTGAGGGGTTCTGATTTACAGGAAAGGAAAGGAAAATGTACGAAAGACCGAATAAATAGACAAATTATTAATTCAAACAATATATTATTACCCAGTATTTGTTCATATTGGCTAATCATACAAATAATAATTACAAAGTATAGAAACAATAAAAGTATTTATTTTAAAATATGAGTATTACATACAAATTTGTACATATAAACAATAACTCAAATTAAACATTTTTAAACAAAATAGTTCCAATTTTAATTAAATAAAAATACATTCTCATGTACTTTATCCAATGACAAAATAATGTTTGTAAAACCGAAATTGTTTTCTTAGGACAAAAAACTTTTAAATAAGAGGTGGTATTATCCTAGCGCTTAATGCCAATCATATTAATGGTTGGAAAAGATTATCTTATCTTAGAATTTACATGGAAACTATCTTTTTACACTCACAATATATGTCCAGAAAATGTAAGATCATTGTGATATGTAAACAAACTTCCCAGTGGTGAATAACTTTTACAACCAACCTATAAGCCTTTTTATACCTTGTGTATTAAGATCATAAAGAGATTGCCACAACAAGATTAAAGCATAATTACCTTTTGTATGTTTTATTTTAACATACGCTGATTATCCAATCACTTTTTACTCTTACTACAAAGCCTTACATTCAAAAACAAGCTAGTTTCCATAATAGATTATCATTATTCTAATGAGTTTAACATCAAGAGTTGCTTTAAAACTTTGGTTTGAGAAGTTTCTCTGATTTCTCCCGCTAAGAACATTTCATCCACAACAGTATAGACTTTGTAAAAATTAAAAACAAGATCTAATTCGCAAACATTGTGAAAATATTCATTCAGAACTTCTACAAAATTGTGTATCGCCTCTAAATAACATAGATTGTTATCATTTACATCAACACAGATGCAAAAGTATAGGCCTGCATATCGGCGGTAGACAATTTTAAAATTACGGAACTAAAATGAAAATAATCTTATTACTCTGATTATTTTTGAAATGGATTAAAATTCAAAGAAAAACTGGTATATACAAAGGCTTACCTCCACGAAGTTGGTATGTTTAGCATCTCTTACGGTAACAACAGCATGAACTTCCTCTATTAGCTTTTGCTTTTCATCGTCATCAAAATTCATGTACCATTTTGCTAACCGTGTTTTTCCAGCTCTGTTTTGTATTAATATGAACCGAATCTGAAAAGATGTTCAATTTGTTACACGGAAGTACAATAGATCTAAAGAGGCGTATTCAATAAAGATTTTTGTATGGAAATTAGTACTTGAAAATGTTTTGCAATGGAATTTCTATAATTTTTTAATACTCCTTACCATTGTGTGAAAAAGACACTATCACTAGATGACTATTTTTCAAAAAATTAAAAGAAAACGGGTCAAACAATTTTATCCAGTAAAGTCAAATTACCGTCAAATTGTCAAAAAGTAATGACATTCGGCTGAACGTTTTCAATTTCAAAAACACCCGTGTTGTGGTCTGTGCTTATTAACCATCTGGTTATGCATAATTGCTTTTTCGTGTCATTATCGCATTCTTTTGCGAAAATGCTGAGGTTTCAGTTGTATACATTTTCCATTGATATTAATAGTAACGAATTATTGGAACGGGAAAGTCAGTTTAATTACGGAAAATAACCACTGGTTTATTCTGGGCATACGAATACGTAGGATTTGATATTATAATAGAATTGGCCTAATGATCCTAAGAATTTGCCGACTAGAAGTATAAGAAGAAATAGAAGAAATTAAAAGTTAAGCAGGTATTGATTTATGCATATTTTTATATAGCATCTAAGATTCATCTTAAAATCTATAAAAGATTATTTTGTAAATATAGGTAGGTAGGCATATTGTGCAATGCCACACATTTAGTGTGATATTGAAAACTCTATTTTGTGTTGGGTTATTTAATATTAATATGGCTTGTTGTTATTGTTATTGTAATAAAAAACGTTGCTGTTCCTGTTTTTGTTTTATTTTTGGTAGTTCTATTTTTTTAGCTGTAAGGAAAGACTGATTTTTTTCTTATAAATAAAAAGTTCATAAGAATGTTTTTTATTTAGTAAGAACTATTGGTTTGTAAAGGCCCTGATACATGTCCTTAAAAAAACAAATCTTATTACCAATACCTATACAGGGTTATTGACGGTTGAGTGTCCTTTAAGACGTTTATGGAGAATGACTTGGGGTAAAAACCTGAAATGTTGATTACCTATGTAAACGAATATGAGCTGCTTATGTAAATTATTTTTGGCCCTGCGGCGTTGCCCGATATATTCGTAACATATATCAACTTTCATTTTCTAAATGAAACATCCTGTATATTATTAACTTTTTAGATTCTGCGAAAAATTCTGGATTTTTCTTATGTAACGTGTACCATTATCTTGAACATTTTCGGAGATAAAAAATACTTTTAAAGAAATTTGGCAACGAACAACCCAATATAAAATAATTTTTTCAGCAACCCATACAACTAAACACTTGATTTTTTTGTTGCGATTCCCTATTAAATCGTAGTAATATGTATTTTCTTCCATTCACTGTTACAATTGAACACGCTAATAACGGAATATTAAGCTTATTTATGTAACATTTAATTATGAAATAATTAAATGTTAAACTTTAATTCGCTTTAACTACAATATTTTGGTTTTTTGCTTATAACTCGAAAACCAGTGAAAATAGATATACCACAGTTTGATACTTTTAGATGGCAAATTAATTGCTCATTTACGTTGCGATATAAAATATTGGGTGTTCCATTTTAAAATTCCTATGTAACATGTATTTTTATGTCTTGCCAACAATTTAATAGGGAATCGCAACAAAAAAATCAAGTGTTTAGCTGTACGGGTTGCTAAAAAAAATATTTTATATTGGGTTGTTTGTTGCCAAATTTCTTTAAAAGTATTTTTTATCTCCAAAAATGTTCAAGATAGGTTTGGTACATGTTACATATAAAAAATTCCAGACTGGCTCAAACCCAAGTCATACTGTTCACCGCTGCACACAGCGCTGGTAGACGCCAATGGCATAAAAGACAATGCCAAAAATTTTTTTCTCTCGAATGCCTCTTGCATTTGTTTGGGTGGGCAGAGGGGTCAGCAGTCAAATTATATTTCTCACCCTTTCCTTAATTAAACGTGGGAGTTCTACAAACTGTCTATCTGATAACTCGAACGGATTATTGTTATCTCTTATTAAACGTTGGTTTTACGTATAATGTTGTCTATGTGCTCTAAATAAAAGGTAATAAGCAACGGAATTACCCAAACCACAAAGAATTCAATTCAATTCAATTATGCGTTTCACAAAAAAATGTTGGGCTCGACTGCTAGGATCATTCGCCCATTGCCGACTTCCGTCGAGGATTTTCGCTTCTGGTCAATGACCACCACGTACAAAGAAGAAAAATAACCAATAATTTGCTCAGCTAGCAAAAAACGATTCTGACCGATACCAAAAAAATCGGCTTCCCCCCGCTTCCACCCCGGACCATCCGGGCCCATCCGGCCTCCATACCGGCGTGAACAGGGAAAAACGACGGGGCCGACGACGATTATCTCTTTAAAACATGCACTGAACACTAAAAACACTAAGTCCACACAGTGGAAACCGATATCAAACTTTTGAGGACGAATACAAGGGATTCTGTCGGGAGCGAACGGAGGTTAAACCGCCGCGTGCAATGCTCCACCACAGAATCCCCCACAAAGAACTATAGAAAGTTCAAACACGAAGCTATTAATTTCATACGTTACGTTTTGACAGCTGACGGTTAAAATAGTTCAGATACTTTTCAGACTCTTTTGTCCATTTTTTTTCTGGGGTCAGATGATGGTATCGGCCAGACCCTTTAATGGAAGTAGTATATTGCACAACATAACCAAGAATTTGGCCGATTTGTCTTAGCAACATTGGCCAGAAAAGCGTTAAAAAAAGGTTAAAAGTTTTATTTTAATTATATACTGAAAAAAATAGCCGGGAGTAGAACTTAATATTTGGTATAATGTTATAATTTTTGCTTAGTGATAAATATGCTCATAAGGTTATTTTACGTCTAATTCAATTAATCAGATATGAAATTGGTAATGAATACAGGTCCGGTATCAGCGTTAATTTAAATAATTTTTGTTTTTTTCAGTATTGTCTAAGTAACGATCCCAATAAACCATGTCACATACTTACATTTCGCGAAATCACCGTTATGTTGGACTGCGGCCTTTCAATGCAGTCTGTACTGAATTTTTTGCCACTATCTTTTGTGCCCTCAAATAAATTAAAGGATCTAAATAATTGGATGCCATCTGATGTTTCTGATCCTGAATTGGAAGGGGTCAGTTTGCATTAATGCTAAGAATTGTGATAGTATATTATTTATACATTCTAGGAGCTGAAAGAAAATGGGGATAGAGTTTTTGTGGATTCCCCACCAGAGTTTCAACCACCTTTGGATAAGCTAATAGATTTTTCTCAGGTGGATATCATTTTAATATCTAATTATTTATGTATGATGGCTCTTCCTTTTATAACAGAAGGAACAGGATTTCAAGGAAGGGTGTATGCTACTGAACCTACTTTGCATATTGGAAGGTATACAATTTTAATATTAATAATGCTATGCTATACCATGCTTATAAGTTTGAATGGTGCTGATTTCATGGAAATAAAACATAAACATTTGAATTGAGCAAACATTATATGTAAGCATGACTTCAATGAACATAAATTAATTTAACATAACATAAATTGAGACAGAAGATTCCTGATTTTTAAAACACCCATACTTAATTTAAAAAACTGTGTTAGGCTTCTATTGGAAGAACTTGTAATCTACATAGAACAATGTCCAAAGTCAAGTTTTGCATCTCAATGGAAAAATTTTACACACAAGTGTCCACATCCATTAAATGAAGCTTTCAAACCAAAATCTTGGAAGCAAATCTACAATATGAATAGTGTTAATACAAGTCTCTCTAGAATTCAAATGGTTGGTTACAATGAAAAAATCGTAAGTTTTTGTTACTTATTTTCAAATTGTTTTATTACTTTAGCAAATTTTGTATTTTGTTATTAGGATGTTTACGGAGCTTTGCAAGTAATACCTGCAAGTTCAGGCTTTTGCCTTGGTTCAGCGAATTGGGTAATTACATCAGATCATGAGAAGATTGTTTATCTAAGCGGTTCTAGTACTTTGACCACTCATCCAAGGCCTATGGATCATCACGCATTAAAAAATGCAGATGTTTTAATAATGACTGATTTAACTCAAACTCCTATCAGCAATCCTGATTCAATGCTAGGCGTTCTATGTGTAGTTGTTGGTAAGAAATCTACTTTATAATGCTTTCTAACAATTTATTTGGTGTGGGGTCTTATGATTTTCAATTAAGGTAATCAAAACTATGAATACAGAGTCTATAAAAATTAAGTGTTACAAAATAAAACTGTAGATTTCTTGTGAACAAAGAAAATATTTTTTCCCACAAAAATTTTCCGCAAAGTGTCATTTTCAATATACAGTGAAATTAGAAATGATTAATAAAAAGTGTTTTTTTTTTTGTTAAAACTTGAATCTTTGGTATGTGTATTCAAATTAAAAGGCCTTAGCAAAGTTTTGTTAAAGAAGTATCCTTTTCTTTTGTCAAAAGGAGTGTACAGTTTCACTTAGCAATCTACACTTTAATTTTCGTGCACCAATATTACAACATTCTTTTTATGTAACAATTAAGGCGTTTTGCATAAAACATATACAAAGCATATACAATTGTACTAACATGACGACATAATTAGTGTTGTGCCAATCGTTCATTTTACAAGAACCGAATCAATCAGTTACCGATTTTGAAAAGGACCAAATCTTTTCAATCAATCGTTCATTTCAATTCTTTTGTTGCCAACTGCAAGCTATAAACCATAAGCGACAATAGTCACTGAAACTGAGCAGTCCGAACGACCGGTTCAGAATAATTTGAATTTGCTATGTATTGGGTTGCATGAGTAATACATATACATATACATATAAGTAAGTCTACAGATCGATGTCGCAAGTCAATACTATACAATAATTATAACAATACTTCCATTCCTTTTCCGTTGTCTATTTCTGTCATGCATTTCAATCTTAAACCATTCAAATGAACCGTATTCCGCAAGGCGAATTCGATTCGGTCGATCGCTCGTCCTGCAATCGGTCGCCGTCTCACTTCAGACCAGTCAGGGCGGCAGCGAGAGCGAAAAAAGGTGATCGAATCGTTATGAACTAGCGGGATTCGGTTGTCCGATCCTAGGAAGTGATTGAATCAAAGTAACGAATCAATCGCGATTGACACAACTCTACGCATAACGAATGATGAAAATGAAACAGTCACCAAGCTTTTCAGGAAAACTGGACTGAGTTTACATGACAATGCTAAAGTATTTAGGCTTGAAAGAGAGGTGCCTAATAAAAAAAGATCTATAAAAGTAGTACTGTCGAGCAGACAAGAAGTCCTATCAGCATTAAGGAACAAGAAAACTATGTATGTATTAAAGCTGACAAACTGAAGTTCCGCTAAAATATTTGAAACAAGTGATACCAGAGCTAGAAAAACAAAGATGGGAAAGAAAATTTAATTGTAAAATATATCAGAGGGATTCCTAAATGAAACAGAAGTAGTTGAGATCTCGTGTTGGTATAGTAATCTATCCTCAGTAGTAAATAAGGTTGAGGAGTGGAAAATAAGCATATCATCTACATGTTCTACATTAGTACTGATAACAGAACCTGGCTTCAGGATGACATTGACAACAGTTTATTATCTCCTAATGGATACAGTACGTATTGAAAGGACCCTGAATTGCAAAAAGGTGGAGGGGTATGTGTTTTGATAAAAAATTCAATAAAAGTACCATGTTGATCCACCTGTTAGTTCATTATGGCTTAATCTGCAAATAGATAGACTTAAGATGATCGTTGCATGTTTTTATAGACCAGGCTCTACCACAACTGAGCAAGTAAATATTCGGATGATCAGTACAATAACCACGCACCAAATGATCAACTTTCCTAGCCGATATAGAAACACACAAAGCTCTCTTTTGAAGTTATTTTTATGCAATATTGACAAAAGCATTATTGATTTGAGATCAGAACTATCTGTTGGCTGTAGTGATCATATTATTATCACAGCTGAAACGCTTAGAGATTAGACAATGTTCTCTCCAGTCAAGAATTGGTCAGTAGTGGCGTGGTTCAGGGTTCTGTGTTAGGACGACTACTATTTACAATGTACCTTTTTGATGTAATTAATTTGGTTGAAATAAATTTAAAAAATTTTGCTGATGACAAAAAGCTCTGTGCTAACCCTAATCTTGACGCAGCAACGCTTCAGGGAGATTTAAACAGAGATGAGAATTGGTCGAACACATTAGTCTAAATGTGCAGTACTCAGAATCGATCCAGACAATATATAAACAATATATACTGATCAGCACACAATATTGTATACAGTATCAGAGTAAAGTGACCTTGGGGGTATCGTCCCATCAGACTTGAAATGGGAAAGTCAAATCTCAAAAAATGCTAAAAATGCTATGTTCCACCAAAACTCAAATATGGGTACACAGTGTGGAATCCATGATACACTAGACAAAATTCAAAGACTGACAATAAAACCTTACCCAAATTCCAATTCACAACTCTAAGGGAAAGAAGACATAGGGAAAATCTAATATTTATTTCTTTATTTATTTACGGTTTCACCAATTTACACAACTGTTACATACATTAAAGGCAAAGAGAGAGAATGACAGCAGTATAAGAGCAGTATAAGAGACATCAGAACAAAATATAACATTAACAATAAACAGAATTAAGTGGTAGCACTCAAACGGGACACATCAGAATCAAATGAGCGGAGGCTGCCGACAAAAGGATCAAGCTTTAAACAGTTGTACACTTTCAGCATTCTAGTAAGGCGTGAATAAACTCCATAATTTGCGCGATGGTAAGGTATGCGGAACATTAAGTTATCACAGCTTCTGTAATATGCGTTAAATTGTATGCTGTGTAAAAGACGTGGACAATAATACCACCCATTCAGAATCTTAAAGAGAAAAACTAAATCACTCTGAAATCGTCTGGTTTGAAAGTATCAATATTAAAGGCCTTAGTTATAATACTATAGTTGATCTTATACCCATTATAGATAATAACATGCGCCTTTGAAGCCAAAGATCTTAAAAATACCACCACAGCCCATACCACAGATGCATACTCCAGTCTGGAGTGAACCAAAGAGATATAAAGGAGTTTAAAGCAATGTGGAGTAGGTTGGCCACTATTGCGTACAACAAACCCGAGCGCTCGACCTATTTACCACTTCCGCAAAATGTGTCACAAAACTTAGTTTAGAATCAAGGCAAATACCCAAATCTTTAATGTGTTAATGTGTGACGGCCTCCATCAATGTTCTATCGGTTGTGAACCATACTCAACAAACGACTAAAGCTAATACTACAGCATTTTTTTTTACATTGAACGCAAGGCTATTAATCTTAAACCACAGGTAAATACTGTCCACAACCCTCCTGAATGTCTTCAAATTATCCGCAAACAAAAGACACTGCGATTCCGAAATTACGCTAGGTTAAAAAGGATAGGTCCAGTGTGAGGACCTTGGGGGAGTCCCGAAAAAATATCAATTTTACCTGAGATATAATTATTAATACGAGCCAACTGAGTACGACCAGACAGGAAACACCGAATCCACCGCACCAGCCCAGCCCCCAGGCCCATAGCTCTAAGCTTAGAGACGAGATGAACATGACCCACCCGGTCAAACCCCCCTTCGAGAAATCAGTATAGACACAATCCACCTGACCAAACTTCTCAAAGGTGTTTAATAAAAATTGTAACAACAAAGTTCCAATTTCTAAACTCATAATAAAAGGCATCATACTTTAAACCAACATCACAATCAATAGGCAACATAATCTCATAAGCCAGGTGATGCTCTGTAATATCCAATATGCTCTCTGATGCAACATAAACCTGAACCACAGGCAAACTCATAAATATCATATCTAAAAATTGACCAAACTTATTAGAGATACAGTTAGCTTGACCTAAATTATGGTAATTACAACCACACGCAAACCACTCTAAGAATTACTCCAAACCGCACTAGGTAAATTGAAGTCAACACATCACAATCTGCGTATCCAGCCAAGAGGTCTGAAGTAGCGGAAGTAAACTCCTTATACACCGAAGTAGGCGAGGAGGGAGGAATATAAACCGCACCAGGAATAAATTTTTTCACTCCGAACGAAACATGCACAAAAATATGTTCCAAAACAGAACAGCTAACATGAACCATGTGTGCGTTTAACTGTCTACGAACTGCGATAAGGGTCCCACTCCCCCTCCTCTTACCAGTATTTGCGTGGCTGCGGTCTTGCCGGAAGATAATAAAGTCACTAAAACCTAGTTCTGAATTCAAGTAGTCCTCGTTAAGCCACGACTCCATCAATATAAACATCATATATACAGCTATTAACAATGATAATAAATCTTCAGTTTTTTGGATTCTTGCCGTTTCTTGACAGCCTGTAGTTTTTTGGGTTTGAAAAATTCTTCTGCTGAACAACCTTCAGTACCCCATACTGAACATGTAAACCTGGCTCGCCAACAGAACGTGCTGCAAGCTCCTCATGTCTTCTCCTTAGTTGATCTCTCTGTAGTGGCGTTAACCTTTATAACACTATCAGTAAGGAATATACGGTTTGCAAGGCAAAGAGACAAGCGATGCATCAAATAAAATAACCTTCAACGGCCTGGGATCCGCGGTGTTACGTTTGCCCAGTCGAAAAGAATTCACCCGAGTTGCGGAAAGAACTTTAGATACATGTTCCTTATCCTGCACAACTCTCCGGTACATTGTACAAAATAATAGAGACATTTAAAATAACAAGTGGACACTATACGTGTAATGTTGAAATGATTTTAAGTCCTAGTCAAAATCCCCAACTTAGAGGCCACTCAAAAAAATTGACCAAAGAAAAGTCAGCCAAATTGAAGCCAATTGGACAGTGTACTCGTGGAACGCCCTTGCGGAACATATTGTTACTGCCCCCGGTGTATATGCATTTAAAAACCGATTAGACAAAGAACTAGAACAAAGTGCAGCGAGAATGAAAAATTATAGTGCATAAACAAAATAAGTGAACTTATAACTCAATAAGAGCTTCAACGGTTTTACCTCTTGCTATTGGAACATTACATGATTACATTAATATTTCAAATTTTTTGTTTTTTGCATATAATTTTTTTTAGTTGTTCAATCTTGTTTGCCCATTTATTGATTTATTTAATTTTTAAAGTTTTTGTACTTTTTTATTAGGTTTAACTTTAAGGGGAGGAGGAAATGTCCTTATACCATGTTATCCAACAGGAGTTGTTTATGACCTGTTTGAATGCCTGTCAGGAAAAATGCAAGAACTTGGTGTTTCAAACTCTCCAATGTTTTTTGTTTCGCCTGTAGCTGATACATCTTTAGCCTATTCAAATATCTTGGCGGAGTGGTTATCATCGGCGAAACAAAACAAAGTCTACGTTCCTGATGAACCATTTCCTCATGCAATGTTAGTGAAAAATTCGAAACTAAAACATTTCAGGCATATTTATTCTGATGGATTCAGTACAGATTTTCAAGAGGTGATCATACTTTCTGGTTGTTTAAAAAGAATAATCGTCATGACTATAATTTTAGCCTTGTGTAGTGTTTTGCGGTCATCCAAGCTTGAGATTTGGGGATGTGGTGCAGTTTATCGAATTATGGGGAAATAATCCAAGAAATTGTATTGTATTTACAGGTACTTACTGACAGTTACAAACATCGTTTATTGGTGCCTACATGCATTTTAATTTTTAGAGCCTGACTATGATTATATAGAAGCGTTGGCCCCTTACCAACCATTACAAATGAAAATAGCACATTGTGCTATTGATACTTCATTAAATTTCACCCAAGCAAACAAATTAATTAGGGATTTAAAACCTGCCACTTTAATTATACCTGAATGCTATACCAAACCACCGGCGTCCACTCCACATGCCACAGAATACGTAATAGAAAATAATTCTGAACGAACTGTTATACCTTATAAGTGGGGTGAGGTAAATTAAAAATAGAAATGTGTTAGGACCAAGAATACAACAAAAATTGAAGTTAAACTTAATGATGCATGTTTTTTAGGTAGTCAATCTTCCAGTGAAACGCAAGCAAGGTCAAATCTTTATTGAAAACACCGTGGCACAAAAAATTGTTCCTGTTGAAGTAAAACCTGGTGTTAGTTTATCTACAATTACGGGCACATTAAACGTCAAAGATAATATCCACAATATGCAGGTGTGATACTAGCAAACTTATTTTTATCTTCAATAATCAGAAACTAAATACCTAAGTTATATTTTAGGATATATCCCAAGATTGTAAACTTGTAAATAAGGATGTAAAGTATGAGTGGGGATCAGTAAATATCAATGAATTTAAACAGAAGCTATTTCAAGAAGGATTTACAGATGCCAAAGTTGAATCTTTGGGTGGTAATGTTGTAGTAATTCATTTGGTGAGTAATTTCTTGAACACAGTGATAAAAATGAGTTTGTAATTCTTTGAAAAAATTGGATTTTTCTTTAAAAATTATTATGTTAATTTATAAAAAAATAAAGCTTGTTCTCCTAATAATATGTTGTAAAATTTCAAAGAAAAATATTCTCAAGCGTTGTAATTTTTAGCAAGATGAGGATACTTTGATCCAACTAGAAGATAACAATACTCACGTGGTATGTAACGGTGACGAACAGCTAAGGACAAAGTTGAGAAATATTGTTATGCAGTGTTTGAAAAAGTTTTAGACTATTTTCAGTATATTTTCTTTTTACATTACTGCGACAAAATAAATGTTGACCGATCAACAAATAGTTTAAAATATTATACCTACCTAAAAAAGTGTCTACGTTGAGGGGAAACACACTGTAGAAACGCATAGGGATCTGTAGAAATTCGGGAACTGTGAAATATGTTGTACTACACGATCTAGACACAAAGATCAAGTTGCGGATTTGCGTATGCGCAAATGAAGAATGAAAGTCACGGTAAGTTCAAAAGTAATTCCTATTTCTGAAAATGTATGAATATATTTGTAAGTTAAAGACAAATTTAAACATAATTGTGTTATAAATAAAAATATCGATTCTATATACTATCATGTGCTTAAATATGGTACAAAAGCAGGCGCAGTCTTTACCTGAATGTTATTATGGTCCATTACAAATTTGTTATTCCATTAATTATAAAAACAGGGGAATAATAGGAGTAAACATTTTAAATGTTTTAATTTAAACGAAAATGAACTATACTAACCAAAAATCCAATTAAAGTATGTGAATGTTCAATAAAAACTTTCTTCAAAACTAATGCTATAATTCGATCAAATCTACCAAATTTCAGTCTTTGAGTGGACTTGACAGATTTTGTGAGTATTTATTTTTTTAAGTAAATGGTTTATTGGGAAAATTATAGAATCTAACGTAACCTTCAAATCAAATATACAGAGCAACAGAGCGGCTAGTATGGCTTGCGGTCACGTCAACAATCATCCAAATGTGTTTTCGAGGTATGAAACAGATATGCAGAATCTTGGTAGGTTCATGATACAATTTACAAAAATATATTTTTACACGCAGGGTAGTAACTATATTAGCTTAAATTAAACGAGTTTAATAATAATTAATAATTTAATAAATTCAAAGGAGTGTCTACATTTTTTCCGCATCCAGACTTGAATAGACTTGTGCATTTTTGCGGGAAATTAAAATATCAGTTTAATGCAACTTTTTAAAGTTTTAACGTATCTTGATTTCAAAATTAAGGCTTTTGTTACCTTCTCATAAATATTATTTTTGAGATGTGGATGGATCTATATAACCTTTGTGGGTGCAGCAGAAAAAAGTCGCCAAATATACTGTTACCTTTTTCCAAAATAATTGAATTATTTAAAAGCGAAGGTTTGCACAAAAAGTCACATCAAATTGCTTTGCATTTTTTTCACACAAGTCGAAAATACATGTGTCCAGTCCTTTGGAATATAATGTTCACAGGAACTGCGTTGTATAGCATATGCGTAATATTTAAAAATATCAAACTGAAACAATAAAAACTAGCTTTCTTATTGGGTGTACCAGGAAGAGAAAAGAAAAATGAGAGGTGTGAGAATATGGTTCAAAAATACCATAACAAGTGTGTTTTCTCATTCAGAAACACAAATTTAGAATTTGATGTTTTTATTTTATTGAAATCCCATTTTCAAAACCCTGTATGTTATTAATTTATGTAAAAAATTTAGTTTTGATTTATAACCAGTTGTTTTATGGCCGATGGCATCTATTATAAAATGAAATGGTTATATGACTTATTCCCGATAGGTTACTTCATTTTTTTGAATCTATACGTATACTAATAAATACGTACATTTCGCATAATATTAAGTTTATGATAACATAAAACGAAAGAAATTAATATTTTGGAGTTAATTGTCGCTTATTCGTATTGCTTGCCACTGCTGTGCAACAATTCTTCCCTCGAAGACTCTATAACTCGTTTTCTCATATTTGTCAATTGTTTTAAAAATGCACTTGGACTGCAAGTGGGCGTCCTGCGCCTCTTGTAAGTTTTCCTCGGCAGACTACCGTAGTCTGAAAATGTTACCGGGTTACTTTCCAAACTGGAATCTTCAACCTCAAGGTTGCTCAAATCCCAATATTTCGCCCTCGAAAAGTGTTCATGAAGTTGATGTTCACAGTCAGCCGACGCTACACTCACGGGTCGCGAAATCTTATTTATCTTCTCCTCCAGTCTCTTGCAGGAATCTTGCAAAAGAACTTCGTACTTGTTGATAGGCACTATGAGGTCCAAAAAATCATCGGACGTTTGAGAACAACAACTCTCTCTCGACGGCTGTTCAGTTTGAGTGCTGCTGGATTCCCTCACAGCTTTCTTCCGTCTTCTCTTGATTTCGTCAAGACCTTCGATGTCGTTAACCGTTACGCGTAAATTGCAGTCTTCGAAACAGTGCCTATGCGAACCGATTTCCAATTGGCTCGCGGTTTTTGTCAAGTTTTTCATTAGCGTCGTGGCTTCTTCCATAAAATTTGACATGGCCGTTATCAGTCTTTCGTTTTTGCTTTTCGATTTTTTCGAAGACTGCCCTTTATGAAACACCACTGATTCAGCAACATCCGAGAACAGATCTAAACTAGATTCACTGGAGCTGTTGAATATTTTCGGTTCGAGAAGGATTGTCGTAGAAGACTGCCTGGCTGCTGGCTGTCGTATTATCACTGGACAATATTCGGGTTCTTCGATTTTTACCAACGTCGCATTTACTAAATCGGGTAGAAAGTCCTTCATCGCGACGCAACATTCGCGGAAAACGTTAGACTGGATCTCGGCAGCGTGAGCGGATAAAACATCGACCTTGGTTAAATGATATTTATCATCTAGAGTCTCCAGAATACCTGCTTTAGCCATGCGAATCATCTCGGAGGAGACCTCGACCTGCTCGGATGCGTCCTCTAAAAGATCGCCCATAGCGAAACACACTTTGGATGATTCTTTAATTTCGGCCGTATCGGGGCTAGGATGTTGCTCCAGGGAGTTGTGATTGCTAATAAGATCGGGCGTGTTAAAAGATTGTCGTTGCCGGTTCAAACTCTCATCCGACAAACTGTTGGCTCTATTCGCGTTCACGTAATTGTGCGATATATTTATATTCACCGAGTCTGCGAATATGGGATTTGCCTGATTTTCCGTCAAGTACTTGGTGAAAGACACCCCAGCGCTTCGTTCCTCTGTAGCTTGAACCCCACAGGAACGCGTCAAAACTAAGCCGGTCTTTACGTCTGGGGCGATAAATCCACCCAAAAGGGTGCATTCCACTTCAACGTCCCTGGTGTCACGTCGATCGGACGTAGACGCGTCCTTTATTTCCACGAGGTCGCGTTTCAACCCTGTGCAATCGGTGCCGACCTCTTTTAACCTCAGAACCGTACAATTGTCAGTCTGTGTTTCGACGTGGCGGTTCTTGTACGCCTTCAGCGCCCTCTGAGTAAGTTCCCTCAAGCGCGACTTAGCCGGCGTCGAAGTTTTCAATAGCAAAGCGTTTTCAGTACTTGTGGAAGCTTCCTTTTTGTTTACTTTGCTGTAAAGGCGGTTCGTGACGGCGGCAACTACATGAGACCTGGGTTTGGTCAACGCTTTTCTGTTCGTATCGACCTTAGGTACGACGTTTTTTAGTTCCACCACTTCGGCGTTCTTCTGAACGCTGCCCAGAATCCTCCGCTGGGTGATCGTCTTCAAAGACGACGACGGATTTGGTTTGTTCAAAGATGGGTTGGATTTGTTGATGGATTGTCTTTTTAGTGTTAGGGAAGTTTGCTTGGTCGGCACGGAAAAGTTAGATACCGAGGAGCGTCTTTGAGCGGTACCTGGTAGAGATTCCCTGGAGTTGGTAGTTGAAGAACTTTTCGTCGACTTGCTGTGTTTCGGCGATTGTAACGATTCCTGCGAACTGAACGTTTTGGAGTTTTCCGAATCGACGCTATATGTCCTGTCGAAACTGCACATTCTGGAGAGCGTGTTAGGTCGGTGAGGAGTAACCGAACTGGTCACTTCCATCGTGGGAACCAGATGCAGGTTTGCGTGGAACGCTTCGGGCTTGGTCGGTGTTAAGTTGGTTGGTGCAGCATACGCATCTCTGCGCTCGTGTGACTCTTGCTGCTCTTCTTCCTTTGGGTCGCGTATTTCGGTTAGGCACTCCGTATTATCCAATTTGTCGTTTGTCATTTGCTTGTGAACACAGTCTATAGAACTTACCTATAACGGAAAACGTATATTAGAAGAAATCGTTGGTTCAAAAAATTATTGCTTTAAACGACGAGAAGCTTACTTGGTGCGTCGATGCAAGTAACTCCCGCAACTTTGCAATCTCCGCTCTTAATTCTCGGATGGTCCTCTCCTTGGGATCTTCAATGGCTACAGGTTTGTAAACGATAAGCTTGGCTCTTTGTCCAAACCGCAGAGTATTTATAGTCTCACTATAGCATGAACTTGATGGTGAAATCGCTGCAAAGGAAAGTTTCAAATCACTTAAGTGTGGTCTGTCTTAATATAAAGTGAACGATCCATCGATTCCACAAAGTTCGTAAATGATATACATTTTTAAAGCTTTGCGACTTTGTTGCACTTAGTAACATTTGTAATTTTTCAAAGAAACTTCCACAGGCTACTGTAATACTTTTTACAAAACTTCTGGATTCCTCCTGCGTCGGTTTTTGCTTAGTCGAAATTGCTGACGTTTCGCCAATCATTGTGTTTGCTTCTTTAGAGCTTGACTGAAACTGGATGATTGTCGAAACGTCAGCAAGTTCGACTCGGCAAAAACCGACGCAGGAGGAATCCAGGAGGTTTGTAAAAACTAGTAACATTTGTAGGACCTCATCTCTTGTGATTCACATGTTTCGTAAGTTTAAGTTATGGCATTGTTAAACTAAATTAAATGTTTTTCCATACAATCAGTAGTATATTATGCAACAAGTGCGGTAAACGGCATTTGACTCACGACTGACTTAAATACTTTACCGAACGTGTTGCAGACTATACTTTTCTACGACCGTTAGTTTTTGGGTACATTTTCAGAAAACAACACGAATACATTCACTGACATGACCGTCAGAATTGACAAACGTCAAAATTCAAATTTCAAACCCGTGCGGTAAAATTCCGGAAATGTCCGAAGTGGTCGGATCCGTGGAAAACGATACTGACGTGGTAAAGTGACGCTTCTTCAACGCTAGATCGGTGTGTAATAATAGTATATTATGCAACAGGTGCGGTAAATGGCATTTGACTCACGAGTTAAAAAGTTTACCGAATGTGTTGCATACTATAGTTTTTCTACGAACGTTAGATTTTGGGTACATTTTCGCAAAACAACACAAATACTGACATAACCGTCAGAATTGACAAACGTCAAAATTCAAAGCGTGGGAAATATCTCCGAAAACATCCGATTTCTCCCAAAGCCGTTCGGTAAAATCTCGGAAATATCCGAAGTGGCTCGGATTCATGGGAACCGAAACTGACTTGGTAAAGTGACGTTTCCCGCACGCTAGATCGGTGGGTAATTATGTATTTTGCAGACGGGAGTAGAAAGAAAAAATTTAATTATAGTCGAGGATCTACAATTAGGAACATACGACTTTTTCCATTCAGAAAGTTTTACCTTAGTAGAATAAACTATGCACATTGGAAATCAATTCACAACAAAGCATCTTGAACTAAAAAAAGTAATCTTCGATTGCGAAATTTATTGAAAATATGATAAAAGCCGAATTAACCCAATCAAATGCAGCAAGTATTCTTAAATTTTCAAATTATGCGATGTTTGGGGTTTAAAATATTTATTTCTTCTAATTAAATAAGATGGATAAAATAAACTTTAAATATTCGTAAAGTTGGATATTATGCAAAGTTTGAGGTTTAAAACATTGATTTTTCATAAATCAATAAGAAACATAAAATCAACTTTCTGGAAAATTTTCATTATGAAATTATTTAATTGTTGAGCTTACTAAAGAAATAATACAGAAGCAACGACAAAGAAAAGTTTTGTCGAAAGCACTTATATTAGTAATATGTGGTAATATATGAAATTATTATGTTAGTTTTTTTTTTACAATTAAAGCCATCTTACGCTTCTTTCTGGAAACATTTATTTGTCCATATAAACGCCGTGCAAATTAAATATTAATTTTAAATATTTTGCTGTCGAAACATTTGAGGTCATCGTCTTCATTTTGTACGTAACAAAAAATGAAAAAACTTACTGGCAATCATTACAGTTTCGGAATTCCCTTGAAGGGTGTCTTTCAACAGCCATGTCAGCACTGAGTCACGGTACGGCACGAACTTGTTCCTGGTCGATGGTCTGGAATGCTCCGCTGCAACAAGAAATGCATCGCGTCCGAATTAAAATCTAAAAAGGTCCCACCAAAATACTCCAAGAGGCGCCGAAATTAGCTTCTGATTTGAAGTGGCGTAGATGAAAACTTTTTCGAATGGGTCTTAAAATTGGCGCATATAAGACTCCTGCAAATATCTAAATGAGCCTATTAACAGAGTCTTCAAATTTGATGTTTACAGAGCAACATTAACAACAAATGTATGTACATTCAGAAAGATTGTTTTTTCGAGATAATTTTGGCGAAAAAAAAAACATTCATAGATTTTAAAAAAGGAACATATTATCAATTAAAGTATTTTTTGAAGCGGAGTAATTAAATAAAATTAAAAAGTCAGAACGATTTCTAAATTAAAAATTGTTTTAGTTGAAGAACAAACTAACGTTTTATTTTATTAAATAAATTAAGTGCCAGGCATTGTTTGTTTTTAATTTTCTAGGTTGTTATGTTCTTTAATATTTTCTTCATAATTGTCCTTTGACCTTTTTTTTTAATTTTCTATGTAGTTTTTTTACCATTTCTGTTTTTTTTGCCAATTTTTATTTCTTTTAGCGTCTTTTCGTCTTTGATATCCTACAAAATAAAATTGAAATTTCTTTTGATACTTGTTTTTTCTCAATCCAAATTAATATACGAAGTATTTTTCAAAGAAACTTCCACAGGCTACTGTAATGTTTTTTACAAAACTTTTGGATTCCTCCTGCGTCGGTTTTTGCTTAGTCAAAATTGCTGACGTTTCCCCAATCATCCTGTTGGCTTCTTCAGAGTTTGACTGAAACTGAACTGAAACAGTTTCAGTCAAGCTCTGAAGAAGTCAACAGGATGATTGGCGAAACGTCAGCAATTTTGACTAAGCAAAAACCGACGCAGGAGGAATCCAGAAGTTTTGTAAAAAGCAATATACGAAGTACTTAGTACTATTACTTTTTAAAAAGATTTCATTTAAGTATTTCCATTTCCGAAAAGTGATTCCTTTTCTGGCGAATTTACTGGTTCCTTGTTTTTTTCTCACATTTTTTAAATTTGCATAAAAAGAAACAGATAATTTAACACGTTCTGATTTTATGTTTTAATGATAAATTGCACGCTCAACTCGTTTTTTCTCAATTAGTAAATTAACAAAAAGATCTAAAAAACTTAAACTAAAATAAAGTTTTACACAAGTTTGCCAACATTCCATATCCGGCGTAATACGCCGCAATATTTGCATTATTTGTCAATTTTCATTTTTCTATTTTTATTAGTTTATTCATCATTCAGTTATCTACTATGTAAACAACGTTATAGATCTATAATGGGAAACAGTTTTCTGTATAACGCTTCGCATTCTTTGAATGGCACTGCACTGGTTAACAACGTATATCCTTGCACTTTAAAAATATAAACCTTGGATTCAGAATTTGTGCTACACCAGCCTTTAGCGAAGAAGAATTGTCTTTTTCCGGGATCTTCAGGAAAATGAAATAAGACTTCTGAAGCTAAATATAACCGTTTTAAATCAATGATGCTTAAATTGATCGTTAGTAGAGGTTTTCCGTATATTTTTACGCCAGAATTCATAAATAGAAAAAAGTGTAACTACAAAAGTTTCATATTTTTTATAAATAATACAACTTAATCTAAGAAAAATGAACCAAAAAAAAAAAGATACTAAGTAGATTGAAAATATATTATCATTATTAAAAGAAATAATTGTAATTTGACTCACAAGTTCATTTGACACGAGCGGACCGCAGAGGAGTGAGTGTTTAATAAACGAGTGACTTAAAAAGGTTAACAAATGTGTTGCGTACTATACTTTTTCTACGACCGCTAGTGTTTGGGTACATTTTTGCACAGCAAAACCAAATTCAAACCTTGCGGTAATATCCCGGAAATGTAAATATGACATGGTAAAATGATACTTTCCGCACGCTAGAAACGTGTATAATTAGGTATTTTACAGAAGTAGAATTTTTCTTGTATTTTAAAGGATATAATATAAATGCACTCCAAAATCATGTACCTGCGATGTTAAACAGGTATTTCCTTTGATAACGAAAGTACCAGGCGATAATATTCTTTACATTATTTTCAAACGATTAGGATAAATTACTTCCTGCATTGTTTCAATAATTTTTGAATGTATGTATCTACTAGACCGACTAGTTAAGTTAAATTTTATAAAAAACTGATTCTCTAACAGGATAGTCTTCTGAGTTCGGTTCAAGAATATTAAAACAAATATTAAAAAACAAAAAAATATATTAAAATAAGGAACTCGCCCACTAAAAAAATCCTCGTACCTAGTACCGAGATGACATTTCCCAATGCAACAAGACTCTTGTTGATATTGGCACCTTCTCTGAACCTTGATGGGCCGTATCCCGGACTTCCAGCTCTCTCGTTTCCAGCCAAATCCACCAAGTGTAATTTTACGCCATCGCAAGTAACCGAGAAAACGGAATGACTTCTACTAGATTTGGGATTAGTCGAAGTAAATCCAACTCTACGTTTGGCGGTACCCGCCTCTAAACGTTCAAGAAGCTCAATGTCGTTTGAAACATCATGCTCGGATAAACCTGAAATGCAAAGAATAACTATTCAAATCAAATCAGACGCATTTATTTCCAGCAAAATTTGCACTATGGTTACAATCTGGGTCTGGACTGACACGGTCCTGAAAATATTTTTTAACATCTAATAGTTGACAATGCTTTGTGAAAATATATTGGGCCATATTGGGGTTCCTAAAATTAAGCGTGTTTTTGGCAAATTTGCAATAACTAGCGACATATGAATTGAACAAAAAAATATCTATAAAACAATATTGATCAAAAACTTCAACTTGCTTATTTCAAAGGAACCAGCCCATATATTGGTATATTTTTAGATCCACACCTAACCGTTTTTGAAATATTGGACTTTGAACAAAAATAGTTTTTGGAAAATTTGATTCTCATATTTGGCAAATCTACAATGCATACTAATTTTTAATTGTCATGTTTGACAACAAAACGCAACAAATAATTGCTTTTTCAAAGCAAAGTTTAAAATTTTGTTAAATATAAAGATAAAATTTTCAAAAGCCACAAAAATATGCATCTTCGAAGTTGGTTAAGCCTGATGGCATAATTTTTTCAAGGTCCAAAATTTCATAAACGGTTAAGCATTCGACGTTATACGTAAGATGTATTTAAAATTTCACACAAAATTTCAAAATGTAAGAATATACAGCATTTAAAATAAGCAAGTTTGACAGCAACTTCCGGCTAAACCAGATATTTTTTAAATTATTACACTTGAAACTTAATTTAACTCCAAATATTGAAAGGCTTGCTAATTTACATCTCAATAAATTTTCAATGAATGTGTTTGGTGAAAAACCTTGTATAGATGATATAGATTGAAAAACAATATTTTTAGTAGTAAAATATTTTAATAATGTAATGTATACATATATATATATATATATATATATATATATATATATATATATATATATATATATATATATATATATATATATATATATATGCGAAAATTCAAGTTGCACAGCATGGCGCACTGAGAAAGACAAGGACATCACTTCAAAAAAACTGTGGAAGAAATTAGAAATCCTTCAGTCAAATTCCAAAAAATCAGGACAAGTGCCAAATACATCCATCACAGATACAGGCAGTGGCAAATACATTAATTGCTCGGTCCTTCAGGCTCACAGACGAGAGGAACAGAGATAAAGAACTGAAGAAAATTAGTACCTGTCTTCGACAAAACGGATACCAAAGGCGCACCATCAGCAAGGCAATCAGTGAACAACAACAGCCGCAGCAGAGAGTGCAGGACGAGACCCAACGAAGATCGATCGCTGTCCTGCCATACATCAAGGGGGTTACTGACAAAATCGGCCGAATATTACGGAAACACGACAAATCAACGGCAAACAAACCTGACCATACCATCGGAGCAATACTAAGAAACCCAAAACAAAAAATTACTCTGGAAAACCAAGGAGTATACAGTGTAGCATACGGATCGTGCAGCCTGACGAATGTGGGACAGACCAACAGAAGGATTTCAGCCAGGCTCGAGGAACATCGTTTAGCCATAAGAAACAAACAAACAACATCTGCTTTGTTTCAGCACCAACATCAGACAGGCCATAAAATTGATTTCGGCACTTGCAAACAAATAGCTAATATTCCTGATTTTAGGACTAGGATTATACGAGAGGCCATCGAAACAGAAAAGTCTGGATACCTCAATACGAGAGACCACGCTCTGCATTTATCCAACACGTGGAGAACGATAATCAAACAGCAGAGCGATGCGCAGCAGCCAACTACGATCGGGCGAAATTAACAACGCGACAATTCGGGGGGCGGAGCTACCTCCCCCCACGCACAAGCAGCACCGTTACCATCTCCGGCGCAGAGTATAAATACCGCACACTCGAAGTGTTTTCGGAGCGCGAGCATTGAAGATGCCAAGTGAGATTTTGGCGAAACGTCTGCAGGATTCCAGTCGGATGCAAGATTTGCAGGATTCCAGTCGGATGCCGGATTCCAGTCGGAGTTCAACGAGCGAACGGATGATATCCCGGAATATAGTGTCATCACATTTTTCCATCCGTGAATCAATACGTGAGAATATATATATATATATATATATATATATATATATATATATATATATATATATATATATATATATATATCGTATTTATTTATAAAAAAGTAAATAACCTATTTTTAAAAATCCGCAGTCTACAGTCTTGAGACTGTGGAACTTTTCATATTCGAAAGTTTAATTTGGTATAAACTAATATTCGAGAAAAAAGTATATCGAACGAATTAATTGGAAGAACCGTGATTATTTTTCTTTTCTTATAAAATGAGATGTGAAATTCATTCCAACAACAAAGAACTATAATTGTTCTTTAGCAGAGAAATTATTGAAATCATAAAGTAGTTTCTTATTAAAAATAGAAATTCAATCCCTCTATGCTTATTTTTCTCTAAAATAATTCGATTTATAAGCAATAAATAAGAATACCTTTTATTAGTTTACTTTCAAGCTACCTAAAATTTTCTTAATACGATATTATTTTAAGAGGTCCTTACTAGTATTCATCACAATAATGTTTTGTTAAATTAGATAACGTTCTTTAAAAGTTATTTAAGAAACATCGGCCTAACCTCCACCGTAGAGACGAACTTGCGATTTTCATCCTTTTTTATGTTCTATCTCAATGCGAGAGATTGTCCACATTTTGATTTACACTAAATTTTCTAAACAAATACAAATCGTTTCTCCATTTCACGGTTTCACGTTCAAGCTTTTTTGCCAGTTTAAACACTACGAAATGCTACACTTTCAGTACTTTTTTAATACTTTATACATTACTTATTACTTACTTATTGCAACTGTTTCGCTTTCCTGATGAGAAATTTGGTAAACAATGTTATTTGATTACGGTTGGAAGATCGTATTCCAGTGGCAGACATATGAGCAATAGCAATATTATTCCATTATTAAAATATATTACTGCTAAAAATATTGACCCAATGTTCTAATTTTCAATGCATGTTTATAAATTATGAATTATATGAAAATTGCCTAAAATATCTTTTAGAGGTTTGGAAGTTATAACAGAAGAACTTTCGAGATTACGAAAATTTCAACACATTTACCTGGAAAACAAAACAGTTTTTGGGCTAGCATTTATAGTTTTTTAATATTTTTGATCGTATATTAAGTTATTCAATTTATGTCATCTATACAGTGTTTTTCACCAAACACATTCATTAAAAATTTATTGAGATATAAGTTAGCAAGCCATTATCATTATTTATCATTATTTGGAGTTAAATTAACTGTCAAGGGCAATAATTTAAGAAATATTTTCAACGTCCTATCACTTTCGGTTTAACCGAAAGTTGCTGTCAACTTGCTTATTTTAAATGGAACACCCTGTATATTCATGTATTTTGAGATTCTGTGTGAAATTCTAAATATATCGAATGTATAACGGCCTACGTTTAACTGTTTTTGAAAAATAATCGACCTTGAAAAAATTATGCCCCCTGCTTAACCAACTTTGAAGTTAAATTTTTAGAAGACGGTTAGGTGTGAATCCGAAAATGTATGAAATGTATATATATGTCGGCGCCCTTAGCTTTAAGTGGTCGATATTTTCGCATATTTCGTTTTGGGTGTTTGGATTGTTTATTTTTGAATCGTATTATTTATCGATCTAGACTAAACAGTTATAATTCATTCTGAATATTATAGACCCATGGGAACCCACTTAGGTATCTTTTCGAGGTGAACGGAACGCGGTCCGGGGGAAGACAGTCTTGAATTATTGAAACCCGGGATAAGTCGAGTCTAGTGTAGCTCCGATAGCCGATGAGCGGTTGACGATTTTCCCTAGTTTCCCTATCGTCCCGCGGATCGTTGGATTCCCTTTAATAATCAATTAAGTGATTAGATTATTAATTTGTTTTAAGCACTGTGTTGTGCATTTTTTTAATATGTCCGAGAAGTCTAACTCTATGTCGCCTCGCTCGCCATCAGAACCCGCCCACCGGGTCTCTATTTCTATTTTATTATTTTTATTATTATATAATTTCGATTATTTCTTTTCTTCTATATTATGCACAAGTGTAGTAAATGGCATTGCGAGTCTTTAATAAACGGGTGACCGAACGTGGTCTATACTACACTTTTTCTACAACGTTAGTTTTTGGGTACATTTTTGCAAAACAACACGAATACATGCACACTGACATGACGTCAAATTTCAAGCCGTGCGCTAATATGTTGGAAAACATCTGATTGCTCCCAAAAACCCGGAAACGTCCGAAGTGGCCCGGATCCGTGTTAAAATGACTTAAAAAAACTTTTCGCACGCTAGATCGGTGTTTAATTGGGCATTTTAGAGAAGGAAAAAACGGTGATAAATAATTGTGCCAGGTTTTGTTAGAATTAGCTCAATAATGGTGAGTAATAAATAAAAAAACTATTTTTCGTATAAATTTTGGCAACCTGTAAGTCGAAAACAAAGCAAGTTAGGACACGTGCTTATATAAAAAAAACCTACTTATTCTTGGCTGATAAATATGCGTTTAAAATCTTTGTATCTAATTCTGAAACGCCCTGTATTTCTGAGCAATTAAACAAACCAAACTAACCCAAACTAACAATACTTTTGACTGACACAACTTGTTTAATCTATCCACGGAATTCAACTTTACGTTTTAGTTCCAATCAAATAATTTGCTTTGCTTTCTTCATTAATTTATTTTTTTTATCGCAGGTGGTTGAAAAGTTGTGATAAAGTTAAACATAAAAAAATAAACTTGGGTAGAGATCTAAACTGGAAAGTTTGAATCAAAAATATTGTTAAAGAATGGGATAAATATAATTCTAAAAACAATATCAAAGTGCAGTGAGGCGAAAAAACAAATTATTAATTTTAATAGCAAAACATATTACAAAAATAACTACATATCGATAAAGGAGATCTTAAATTAAAAATATATAATTTCCAACAGTGTTTGGTTTGTTTATCATTAACAATGGCAATAATTCCAAAAAAATCTCACCTTCGACATATGGTCCTCGTTTAGGATGTTCTCTCACTTTCAAATTTGCAACCTTTGTTGATTGGTAGTCGTTGCTCAGCAGATCGGCTACTTTTTCGTTATAAATTTCCAAATAACTGCAATAAGTTAATGTTAGTCCGTCTTTGCCATACTGGTTATAGGTAAAAAAAAGAAAAGTTATAAACCATTATGCGCATACAAATTCTTTTGGTTTATTTTTTTTGTTCGATTTTGTGACCTCGAAACCAAAGTTTAAACAGTAACGGGAATTCGAGATTTATTCGCCCAGTATAATTATTTACTCAACGACAATTTGTTTTCGTAAATTGATTCGGCTAGAAATGTTTGACGTTTCGCAAAAACAGTTTTTTAAAAACAGGTTCCTCGAATTGAACAAGCAATGATCTTGTGGAAAACCACAATTACGGTAACGAATCAGTTTTGATGTTACCATCTCAATTTTTGTAACCATTTTTTTTGGCCATCGATGTCTTATTTTGTTTTGTTTGACATTTGATACTTTCTATCTGATTTTTTTGGATACATGGAGAGACAAAAAGTATTGTTGTGGCATATATAACGTTGGAAAAACGACTATACTATATTTGGCACTAGCGGATCGAGTGTTAATAAACGAGTGACTTAAAAAGTTTACCAAACGTGTTGCATACTATATTTTCCTACGGCTGTTAGTTTTAGTTGTTTAGTAAATTTGGTCATTCGCCAAAAACTTTTACAGCTTGAATGGGACGTACTGCAACATCCACCATTTATGTGACTATTACTTTTCGGGTATCATGTAGATTTCAAGTTATTTATTGGTTATTTAAGCTGATGCAGAATTAATTCGGATATAAGATAATTAAAATGTATTTTTTATATTTATGAACTGCAGTATAAAAAGCAAGTGGTCAAAATCGGAAGATCTACTTAAAATTTGAAGAATTATTTTTCGTTTTGAATGAAAGGAAAATATTTGTCTTATATTGCCTAAAGGAAAACATTTCTTTAGGCAGGCAGTCAGCTGAGATCACTTTACGTGTGGATGAGTCTATAAAAGAATAATCTTGCCGGTCATTTTTAAATATTAATAACAACATATTTTTGGCGAATATTGATAGGATTTCTTTAAAAACACTGTTTCTTTATTATTGTCAGTTGAAATAAGTAAAAAATAAATAAATAATCTTTTTAATATGCTTAGAGGTCAAAAGATCTACCTTAAGCTGCGTTGTAAAATATTCATTTATGCATAATGGTTTCCCTACAATAAAATAAAATGTAGAGAAAAATTCAAACGGCGATTGAAAGACAAATGGTATGGATGATATTAAGGAAACATAACACAAGTACACAAAAGGTAAAAAAAAGGTAATTCGGAGAGGTGATCTGAATAGAGAAAAATTTAAGGGATAATGTAGTACATATTTTCTTGAACGAGTAGTTATGTGATGTGTTTAAATTTCTTCCAGTGGTAACTCACTTAGTTCATCGCTCCAAAAAGATCTTGAAAAATCCTACATTGTACTAGATTTTATTCATCTAAAACTCGTTAAGTATTAAGTCGCGCCATCAATTAAAAGAATCGCGTGTCTCCCACTTGCAACTTCCGCGGAAACAAACTCGGAGCACGAACACCGATAACTGAAACCGTTCACTGAAAACGCTGAAATACGTGTTGAAAATCGCGAGCGACGCATAAAGTTTATAAGAATTTCGACGAAACGGACGCTTTAAAAGAAATGGAGATTATAGTTAGGTTTTTTGAATAATTTGACAATTAACAGAAAAAAAAGGGAAAAGAAAACAAAGGGAAAAAATTAGACCGGTATTGTGAGCTATTATAAGAGCACTTACGAATCCATTTCTTATCAAGCTCCAATTTTTTTGTTTTTTTATATGTTTTATTTCTACTTTTTCGTTTGCTTGTTTTCTCCGGAATATTTAGGTGAATGTATGAGGAAATATATAGAATAATATTGTCAAATGTTTTTTTCGTTGTCCGAGATCATTAATTATTTTGTTATTATTTTCTTTGAATTACTAACAGATAAATCTGAAGAAGTTTCTGTAATAAGCTCTTTATAGATTTATCACAATAAAGGTTTCTCAAATAAATGAAAAACCGAATATTTATCTCTCTATTGCCGTTTCTAAAATCATTACTTTTTGTCATTTGTCTGATATTCAACCCCCAATACTTTAAAAATATAATAAAAGTGCATCCCATGCAGCTACTAGAGATATAGAGGCCCTGCCTATGCCGATAATATATGAACTTATGAAGCAACATGGAGCCGCTGACAGATGGTCATGCGGCATTTTTACGACAGGATTTTCTCAAAATGTCCTAGATCTCGTTAAATGTACAAGCAAAACGAGTTAAGTGTGTGGAAATCGCTGTTTGAAAATATCAATGCTGATTGCGCCGCATCAATTTTTACCGTAGTAGGGCCACTATATTATCTAGGTTTTGACTTTTGTTGACTAGCTTGTGGGTTCAATAAAAATACAATATCGAAAAGTTCATCAATCAAACAACATTTTCGATCGTTTTATTTTTCATATTATTATTTGCTCATACAAAAAAACACCTCACTGAAAAACGTCAAAAATCCTTGATGCGTCTGTAAATTTAAAAAAAATTAATCGTTCGGCTTGAAAATTTTTTCGCTAACGCCAAATGAATTTGCTTCGATGTTAATTAAAAAAATATAAACAATGATCCGAAAACTTCATCAAACCAGGTTTCGTAAAAGCACGACCTTTGGCCTTTAAAAGTTAATGTACACCAAAGGTATTTTCATAAGTATTGTAGTTTATAGTCATATCATTTATCTTGAGCTATTTAGCCTCCGTTATCTATGGCGAACAGCATTCGCATTCACACATGCATGCCAATGGCGTTCAAAATAGATCGCGATTATATATCGATTTCAGCTTGAAACAGTTAACTGCAAATTGTCAAAGTTTCAAATCTACTCCGAGTCGACTACTTAGGTACTCTGAAAAGTTTTATTTGTTTCTGATTCCTGAAACACTAAAAAACAAATATGACCTAAACGCAAAGGTTTCATGGCGGAAATGGCAGCTTTGGCGTTTTATTAACTATTTTTAGAACATCATATAAGTAATAGTGCACTACTTCAAAGATCTCTCCTTGGCTCGATATTCACTATAGGCAACTCTATAAATAGTATTTTTATTTTTCAACATTTTGTAACATAAAATAGTTAATCTATGTTCAGGCATTTTTATTTAGATTACCTGTGGGACTGCCTCACGGAAAAAATTAGAAAAATGGTGCTGATGATTCTCATCTACAAAAGGTGTTTAAAGAAAACACGGGGTACGAAAAATAATAATTAAAAAAAAATAACAATTTTTTTTAAACAAACTAAAGCCTTCAATACTCATTCTTGGAATATTGCAAAAAAATTATATATGATAAACAGACATACAATCAATTAATTTGAATTTTTTTACCCAAAAATTCGAGAAGCAAAAAAGTTGGAGTTTTAGTTGCATTATGTCATTATGTATATTTTTTTCTCAATATTTTTTACTAAGTTGACATCCCGAACGCCACTGGACTTAATAATTGTTATTTAGTTAATACCTAATCTGTTTTTTGATATTGAGTTTTTCTGGTTTTAAAAGTTGATTAGGGTTTTGAATGCATCCACCCATAGGTCAAGAAAAGTGTAGTACATACTTATTTTGTAGGTATCACAAGTATACTTTATTTCAAAATGTATCGTCTTGGGTTTTAACGGCAATTATCGAAATAATGTGGACAGAGCTGCAAAGACGGACTTCTAAGGTGTTTTAAAAATATAAACATTAAATATTATATAATGTTTATTTTGTATAATAAAATCATATGGAAATACTATGACACTAAATAATATATACAAATTATCATTTTTATTCAAAACCAACTTCTGTTTCACTCCCAGAATTGTCATTAAGATTAGTAATAATAATAATAATCCCTGTACTCACGTACACTTTTGGGATACTGAAATGGTTCGAATCGGACCTTAATGAGCTAGACAGACTAACCCGCCCTTTGATGACAAAATTCCGATGCTTGCACACAAATTCATCGGAAAAAAGGCTTTATCTTCCCAGAAGAAGCGGAGGCAGAGGTCTAGTGAACATCTATAGTCTATGCCGAACGCAAGAAATGAACCTAAGACAACGACTTCTAGACTCGCAGGACCGCTAAATACATTTGATCGCCGAGGAGGTCAAAGGGTTCACGCCACTTAATTTGCAGCACGGAGAAATCACGTTTGATCTGAACACGGGACAGGAAAACCAAATGTTATGGAGACAACAAACCCTGCATGCAAAATTTCCTAGGAGTCTGGATGCAAATGATATGGCCGCCTCGCTGGCTTGGTTAAACGCTGGACATCTGTATCACGAGACTGAAGGCTTTATTATGGCTATTCAAGGCAGAGTCATGAGAACCCGCAACTATGAAAAACACTGTCTCAAACTCAACGTGGAGGACAAGTGCAGAAAGTATGGCTCAGTTGGAGAATCCATCGAACATATTATTGCCGGGTGCCCTGTTCTCGCAGAGAGCGCATATTTGGGCCGTCACCTGCAACTAGCTTTAAAGTATGGCCTTCTAGAAACATACCAACCGTATTATAAATACCCCTCGGCCGTACTCGAACATGGCAGAGCTGTACTGTACTGTGATCGTACAACGGATAGAACAGTGGATTACAATAAACCCGATATCGTCCTTATAGACAAAGAAAAGAAAAATGCTCTAATAACTGATATAGCTGTTCCACTTTCCCACGATATCAGTAAAACTGAAGCAGAAAAAATACAAAAAAACATTTGGCAGTGGAACTGAAAAATATTTGGCAGCTGAATAAAGTGTTCATATACCCATTTGTAATTTTGGCGGAGGGAATTGTCTCCAAAAATTTAAAAGACTTCCAAGAACATCGTGGAGTACGGACAGAAGGCTGTCATATTCCAGACATGCCACATGGTTCTTAAGTTTCTGAATTGAGTGGGAGGAACTGAACGGTTTTCTCGTCAGTTCAGAGGGCCCGCAGCAAGCAAAGCCTCGGGTGAAAACAGGCCAGTGAGAGATGAAATGAATTAAAAAAATATATGACTGTTATTTTTGTATGCAGCTGTAAGAACCTTTAACACGGACATTATTAATTAAATTTATTACATGGACTTATATAGAAGCAATCTTTTCTTCTCTCATATTTGATTTTACATATTGCCACAAATGTTTTATGGAGTTGAATATAGAATGATATGGATGAAGACGTAAAACAGTGTGTCCATCTGTTCAGTTGAACTATCACATAAATTTGGTGTTTTTTGTAGTAGGGGCAGTAGGGATAGCTTTTTACTGAAGAAGCCATCCTTTAGAAACTGTATCGTGTTTATTGAACCAAGTTTCCTATAGATAAATTATACATTTATTTTTGAATCTATTCTTTTTAATTTCCAGTGCGCAATCTGTGAGATTCCATTATCAATTGTTTTTTTAAATCTATTTTGCTTTATTAAAACTTCAGTTTTTTCATCTTGTTTTAGCTTTCTCTTTAGTTGATCCAAAGTTGGAACAATCTGGTTCTGATAAATATTTTACTTCTTTTCCTATTTTGTTCATTCATACGGTTAGATCACTACATTTTTTTCTTCATTCAATCGTTCAGGGTTAACAATACAGTTTATCGATAATATTGGCGCTTTTGTAAGTATAGGCAGAGTTCTTTTAAAGCTTTTTGTTTAATGATTCCTTTGCTTATTAAGCATTAATGCATTTTTTTTGTTTTCATTTCATGACAATTGAATTCGATGCGACATAACGGAAAAATTATTGACTAGTGATTACACACAAGAAGCTTTTTCGAGACGCACGGAAAAACTGATTATTCAACACTGTCCCCGATTTCAGCTGACACGTGATCGATATCTACCTCACTCACCCCCTCCTTGTCCCAAATCTGAATAAATTATTGAATGTTGGGTTTACCCGCTAACAATAGGTATGGTAACAATGGTGACTTAATTTTTTGGGGAGGTTCCGTCAAAAACCAAGACGATATACTTTGAGACACACTTTTCTTGCATTGGAGCTTTATCGTTTCCTGGTGTTTGGAATTAGTTGTTACAACCGTGACAAACTTGAACGTTACAAATATAAAAAAATTGACCAATATGAATTTCATATAGGAATTGTACTGTAGTTTATTTTGGTTAGTTGCTTTTTTCTTTCCCCCATCAGTATATCGTGCTAATAATGGTTTCATAAACTTTAATTTTTGCTATTAATTATTTAAGAGTTTTCTGATATATCCCTCCAGAAGTGTGCTGCTCCCTGAATATATATGGCTGGGTTTGCTAAATACACAGGCCTTACAAGTGATTTGATATTTTTTATATTTTAGAGACTAAAGTAAACTAATAGAAAAACAATGTTTTTTGTTTCACGCAATATTTTTGAATTAATTTTTGAGATATATTAAATGTTTTAAAAATGGAAATATTACTTAACATTCTAAAAATTGAAATTACATTTGCGGTCAATAAATTTAGACGTAAAATTAGTGTAGTGTGGTTTAAAAAACAACACTACGCTTATTTTAAAGTAAAAATTGGTGATCAATACAAACCTTGTTTGTAAGGTATGTGAAGAAGGTCTAAGAAATTGGAATAATGGAACCAGGCTATCGCTACCTTTTGAGATACTTATGATATCGAGAGAACCAACAAATCATCATGATTACTGTATTTCTGCTTTTGCAATTTTCGTGGATACGAGGTTAGCACCAAAATTTACCGGCCTGGCATAGATGCAGCTCCAGTGTCACTACAAAACTTTGTCTTCTTTTAAATATATATTTTAGTAGGCTGCGAAAAAAAAATTGAAATTGCATCAAATAGTTTTTTATTGACAGCGTTTTAAACAAGACCTGTCCGAAAAGATGTCGCAAATAACGCAAATTGAGTATAGAGCAGTCATAAAGTTCTTGTCAAAAGAATTTTTAGCACCTAAAATTATTAAAGAAAGACTGGATGATGTGTACGGCCAAAGTTCTCCTTCGTATTCTGTAGTGAAAGAATGGGCAAAACGTTTTCGAATTGGGCAGGAGTCTCCTGAATATGATTCAAGAACTGGTCGACCAGTGGATGTCATAACGGAAAATATTGTTGCGATTGTGGAAGAGGTGGTATTGAGTGATCGACGTTTAAAGGTCAAGGAAATCTTAGAAATTAATAAACTTTCTGATACAAGTTTTCGTCGAATACTGCATGATCATTTAGGTATGCATAAGGTTAGTATAAGATGGGTTCCTAAAAACCTTTTGACTATTCAAAAACAACGCCGTATCGAGTATGCGCGGTCTTTTTCGGAACTCTGTGGGTCGGAACGGAAGCCTGTGTTAGAAACTATTGGGACGGGAGATGAAACTATCTTTCTCTATTATGACCCTCTATCGAAAAAATAATCAGTGGAGTGGCGTCGTAAGGGTGAAGCACCTCCAAGAAAATTCAGAGTCTGCCAGTCAACAAAAAAAGTGATGGCCACGATCTTTTGGGATTGTGAAGGAATTCTTTTGATAGATTTTAAAGAAACTAATACAACTGTCAATGGTAAATATTACGCAACATTATTACATAAATTGCGAGACTGCGTACGTGTAAAACTGACCAGAGGCGTGCGTCTTTTGCACGATAATGCATCTGTCCATACTGCTGGTGTTGCACACAAGCTGCCGTTTTAGAGTGTGGGTTCCAACAGATAGATCATCCTCCCTATAGCCCAGATATGGCCCCAGCGACTATTATTTCTTTGAATATTTGAAAAAGAACTTACGTGGATGGTGGTTTAACGACGAAGTTGAGTTAAAAGAGGCTGTTTTAGCTCATTTTGCAGACAAACCAAAAGAATATATCTTTAAAGGGATTGAGTTTTTAATAAAGAGATGTAATAAGTGTATTGAAATTAAGGGGATTATATTGAAAAATAATAAAACATTGTTGCTTCTTTCATATTCAGGCGGGGAAATTTTGGCGCTGCCCTCGTATAATACTAAAAATTGAAAAACATGGTTTATCCGTAGCTTAAGTCTGCAATTAGGCAATTAGCCCCAGATCTCCCAATAACTGAGGATACAACCAATTTGGAAGATGATACCAGATAAGTTTTAGTTTGTTGGTGTTATATGGAGTGTTTCTCAGCAACAACAGTTTTTTTCACAATCAGAAATGACTTAGTGAGAGACTTAGGTTTCCCTAAGGATCTTTCCGAAATCTTCGAAATAAAAATTTGCGTTCACAAGATGTTAAAATATCATATTTCAGGAAACGGCGAGACAGAATTTATAGGCTATTTTGAGCAAAGTGGTTCACTTGTCTATTGCATCAATATTCCTAATCAGGTAAAGAAACTTGGTACATACTACACTTCTGAGGACTAGATGCTTTTCATTGACTCAGTTGTTCTTGCTTCTGCACCTGTTGATCATTTTGTGCAAATAAAAGAATACTACAAATATCTGGAACAGTGCTTGAGAAAATCAAATACAAGGATTATAGTTCGATAGTTTGTGGTAGTATCCCTGTACTGGCCAAATAGGATTAATTTAGTCTTACTGATCAACAAAAAATTCTCTTATCACCGTTGCATATTAAATTAGGACTGATGAAGCAGTACGTTGAAAATTTACCGCTATCTCAGATGCAAAATTAAAGGAAGGAATTTTTGTAGGTCCTCAAATCAGGCGATTAATGGAAGATCAAGACCTTGTGAATACCATGATCGAATCTGAAAAGGTTGCATGAGTTTCATTTACTGATGTTATAAAAGGTTTTCTAGGAAGCAACAAATATCCAAATTACAATTTAGTTAAATGAGTATAAAACTACAGTTTTTACACTCAACACTCACATCTGGACTGGAGCAAGATGAGAGACCTTTCGTGATATACGTGAATTACACATAAAATTGTTGGTTTGTGTTATAAATGTATTTGTGAAGAACTACAACTAGCATTTTCTGCTGATTTCATCATAAACTAAAATAAAGTTACTTTACAGTTTTTGCAAAAACAAAATAATTTTATTATAAGTTACAAATTGGGTGTAATCATTCGCCCGGCATAATGGTTTTGTAAAGCTAAATGATCGAATTTCGAAAGATCCGTTAGTGCTATACCTAACAGTGATTTTCATGCGAGCTGCCTCCTCTCCTATAGCACCTTCTTCGAAGTATTTAAAAATTCGCCGGCACAATCTGGGAGTTAACCCAGGATCGTGAGGAAATCCCATCATAGTGTGCGTTTTGCCTGATGATGTCTGACCGTACGTCAACACACAGGAATGACAGCGACTCTTTAAAGATCTTCCCACTATAGATTCCACCGTTTCAAATATCTGCAAAAAATAAATAAATAAAAACACAACTCATCTCGTAAGTTTTCTATAATAATAATTATAATAATTATCAAAAACTATATGATTAAAATTTTCCATTTCAAGACGCCCTTTTTTCCCTACGTTATTCTTAACAGATTTACAAACGTCGCATTCCAAATACTAGGATGCTGAAAACGTAAAATAAAATAACCAACCGCATCAGTAGAATTTCGAAATAACTTAAAAAGTTATTTTATTATTCATAAGTATCCATATCCACGTTCCTATAAATATCCCATTATTTAAATTGGCGTTACCCCATAAAATTTATACACTGTTACGCTATTCAAAATGACGGCTATTAAATTTCACGTAACAATTTTGTGTTGATTGTTTCCGAAATACTTTTTGTGTAAATATTTGTATAAAATATACAGTTAAGTTTTCGGGAAATTGTCAGATTTGTTTAGACTGATCCTGAAGCGTCGGCTCTGCTACAATTAGGTCAATGTAATAAAGAAAACCTGGTCTGTCAGTTTTTCAAGAGATTTCGAAACAAATATCTATCTAGATCTAGATTTATATATTTGGGATGTATAAGAGATATAACATCAGCTAAATGGAAGCAATATTGCTCACTTAGATATGCTGTTCAGTAATGTCAAAAACAAATCTCGCCACTTCCAGAAACTAACAAAAAAAAATCTAATAAAATAATATTTTGTGGAGGACAAAACAGAACTGTGCCATAAAATTACAGGACGCAACTAGCAAAAAAATAGAATGTAATTGTAGTCTTCATTTCCAAAACACCAGAATCCAAGTTTTCATATTGATATGTCAAAGATAAGTTGAATTATAAAGAAATTACAATTTCGATAACTAAATTTAACATCGTCTACCTCTCTCTAATGAGTGCCATTTCAAGTAAAGCATATTTGGCTCAATTTCTTTAGCTTCACTTTTAGAATGTAATGATTTTCTGCGCATGACTCTACATTTCACCCACTAACTTGCACTTCAAGTCATTTTCTTTCTAGAACCACTTAACTCGTTTTCCCAGAACATTTAACGAGATCTAGGCGTATTTTGAGTAAATGCTTCCGTAAAAATGCCGCATCAATAAGTTTGACGATCTGTCAGCGGCCATGTTGGTTGCTGAATGCCGCCAGGTCATTGGTTAAAAACAAGATTTTAAATCTCGCGCATGCGCATGTCTTATGTCTTATTAGTATTGAAAAATTATTATGTTGTGAAACATACAAAAATTTTGTTTTTCACTCTAAAATAACCATCACCAAACAGGTTAATACATATTTAAAAGGCACAAACCTGAAGATTAAAAAATATGCCACAGAAAACTTTAAAAAATTGAACCTAGAAACTTAAAGGCAGTTTTAATCCACATCACTCTTGACGGAGATTTCTGAAGAGACGCTGGCCTCATTAGAACATGAAAATTTAACGATATAGCAACTTCAATAATTTAGAATATTTGGATTTTATTGATTTTTGGTAAGTTAGTTTTTGGGCGCTAATTTGAAACATTTGCATGTTAGGTGTTATGCAAGATGTTTCAAAAAAGGTTCCACTACTTTTTACTGTTAATAGAATAAAAATAATAATATACAGGTGTCTGAAAATATCTCCTTCAGAAGGGGTTCCCAAAAAATCATCTCTTTTTGTTATTTTTGAAACAGTTTAAGATACCTGAGTGAAATTTTGAACGCAAGCAATTTTCGTTATAAAAGTTACTGCTGACAAAATTTTAATATTTCGTACAGAAGACCCACTAAACGGAGAGTCCCCCAAACTTTTTTATGGGGTATTTTTGTATGATGATGTACTAATAACTAGTCGTCTCTTTCTATTGCAAAATTTGCTTCTCTTACGCCGTTGCAGTTTATATCGAGTTTACTGATTGTTAGCTTTTTTTTAATGTATAATAGCAACAAGTAATTATTAGTTTTGAATTTATTTGAAGTTTTAGCAACTCATGCCGAAGTAATATATTTTTATTAAGAATCTTTATATTATCATCAGATCGTTTTGGTGAAAAACGATATTACGATTTTAAAAAAACAGGTATAAGTTTTAAAATATAAAACATGGGCCAAATATAGCACGTTATGGTATAGAACGTCCGGATCAATATCAGACACATGCAAGATATATAAAACTGAACATCTACATATCAGTCAGCGACCTAAAACTCAGCAAAAACGTGACGCAAACAATTTTCCCGATTGAAAAAAATATTTCAAATAGAGTGAACGGCTTCGTTAAGTTCAGAAATACAAAAAAAAAGAATATCGTTTTTTAAATTTCATATTTACCTTGCACGCGAAGGGTGCGAAATTAGTCATTTTTTTCTCCTACAATAACATATAAAATGATAAAATTTAACGTGTTTACGTTTGAAATGCGACCAGTTAATTAGATAAGAGTAATCTAGGGTTTATTGAAATACCTGATCTTGTGAGGTATCCTCTGAAAAGCAGTAGTCAAACGCAAATCTTCTAATCCTTTCCCTGCTGTCGCCTGCATTTTGTTCTGGTACCTGTAAGAAAATTATTAAGCAAATAATTATGTCACTGCATTTTGCGCTCTACATTCCATATAATACGAAGCTAATTGAAACAAAAAATTCGAGCAATAGTGATGAGGACATAGATGATCGGGTAGTAGAACTATGAGGACCTATTTTACATTAATTAAATTTCATCAACTCGGAAACTGTATTAGCAAGAAAGCATTTTATTACTCCTTTGTAATTACGGGGCAATTATCGCAGAAAAAAATAATTCATATTTACCAAAATAATGTAAGAAAAATAGTGTTTAGGCTTTTGACATTTTTCGTGGCATATGGTTTTTATAGTTCATTGATCTTTTACGTAAACTCATTAGTTTGTTCCTGTCCTTCGGCTTCCTTCTTTGTGGTGTCACTGTTATTTCCTAGTCGAAATAGTTTCAGGCGCACCAACAAAGAATAACACGGAACGTACTGTAATTAGGAATTGGCAAAAGTTCAGAAATTTTCTGTTACAAAACACGATTAAGAATTTTGACGAACACCGATATTTAGATTTGGAGGAATATGTGGAGATGTGAAGAGGGACGCATGGGTTTGTGTTACCGTTTGCGTAATTAAATTATTAAAAGGTTCAGTTTCTCAGAGGATTTTAAAAGCTTGCACTTATTCATATCGGGATATTGTAACGAATATTAACTTTGCCTTCCCTATACATTTATCTTAACCCTGTTGAGGTTCACTGGTGGCTTGTAGGAACTATGTGGAGTTGGTTCAAATAATATTTACAAACATAAAATTCGTTACTAAGAAAAGTAGACCACAAGAAATATACTACAAACAATAAAATTACAATATAAGAAATATAGCTGTGAACTGACGAATTTGTTTCTCAAAAGTCTTATGTCCGTGATACATTTTTATTATTTTGTTTGATATTGTTTACTGATACTTTAATTATCGACTTTAGGTTTAACTTCACTCTTTGTTTGACTCTTTCTTTGACATCATATATATATGGTCAATAAATGATATCCTATCTATCCGACTTATTAAAAACAAAATAAAATTTGGAATATTATGTTACAAGGTATTCGACCTATGGTAAGATTTTTTTTTCACGAAATTATCTTATGGTTTCTTTCTGCAGCATGAGAGAAGAAGTTAGATTAGAAAATGCGAAGCATTGTTTTGATAAATCTTCAAGAGTCATGAGTGGCAAAGGCAACTTCTATTAAAGTATACTTTTTTTTTCATTACGTATATATTTTTAGTCACCATAAACAGAGCTATTAAAGTAATACTTGACATAATGAATTAAGCGCACCGAACGGTGCTTATTTTAAGCTACAAACGCCAAGTGAATCATCGTACACCAACCTGTTGATCGTTAATTAAGAACATACCGCAGTTATATTTACTTTGTGTGTTCGTTTAGACACGGGAAGTTGTTATCCGAAACATTCACTATCATTTTATAAATACTTAAATACATTGTACAGAATTAACATACTAACATCTTAAAATGAACGGGGAGGGGGGCTACAATGGGTTGCTCCAGAAATACATTTTACATTATTATTAGAGTTGGAAAAGCTTTGCCTGACTTCAATTTAATCGCTTTTTAGGATCTAAAATGTCTGTCATCGCGTCACTAATAATAAAATAGGGTCCTTAGCTTGAAATCACCTAATTATAAACCCAACATATGTTCCATTTCATAATTTCGTGACATATGAAAGGAATGGGTATTTAAAAAACTTTATGAAAACAAATTGCTCCAAATTAAAATCACGTCCATTTAAACCCCTAAAATATAACGGTTGTCATCAAATAGACTAATAAAATAATTTGTGATTAAAAACGAGGATTACATAGACAAAAATAGTCCGATGCTAAGTTTCTCACAACGCGTCAGGTATTGGTATTTTTATTGTATTAGATGTCAAATTACTTACTTTAATATTGGTGATGGCTAAATTGTTGCTTTCCACTGTTACTATCTTTTTTGATCCACATTGCTTCTCTCTGAAATCCGATAAAAATTTCTAATTAAAATTTTATATATTCTTATTACACTAGACTTATACCGGGTGTTTCAAATTCGACTCTCACTAGGATCTCGGTAACGGTAAGAGATACAGGGTGACTTAAATTATATATAATAATATTCCATTTTAAAATTAAAGTTATTTTGTTACTTTCGGAAATATGACGGAAAATCTGAAGCTTCCGGTTTTCGTTTTTATTTTTTTATGTCTTTATTCTAAAACTTAGCAAAAATCTTTTTAGGCCAAGTCAAAAACCTCTTAGCACGCTTCGTTTTTCTCAAACCACCATCAATTTTATTCTTTCTTATTGTCGCCATGCAGTTTTATTGATCAATCGCAAGTTGTATTTGACATTTTAATATCTAGTGCATTACCGTGTCGTTAAAAATGGACTTTGCCAAGGAAAAAAAACGATATATGCAAAACTTTATTTTAAAAACTATAAAAACGGTGTCAAGAAATCGGAAATGTATTTGAACATGTACCCTGAAAGACGACAATCTCATCGAACTTTGTTGGATAAAAATCTCGCTTAGTTTACTTCGTTTAAACTAAGATAAAATTATGAATGCACAATTAATGAGAAACACCAAGATATTTTTAAAAAGCTAACGATAATAATGACTATAAGTAAACATAATAAATAAATTACAAAAGATGCTCAAAATGTTGTCCGTGATTCTCAAACACAGTTGTACTATTCTCTGCATGTTATGCACTGCGCGATGTATTTCCCGTCTGCGTAATTTCCCAACTCACTAATGTTGTTGATTTGGAGCTCTTCCGTTAATTTCCGTTAATTTGAAACACCCGGTATACAGTGAACGACTAAAATATGGAACAAATTCATTTAGAAATCAGGTACTGGGTTTCAATAAAAATGCTTGCACACATTTATCATAATTTTTTCTTCGGTATTTTTTACAGTAAATAGAAAATCATGGGTCAAAAAGTACATGTCCATACAAGTTCCTTTTTTTTAATGGAACACCATTTTTTCAAATTCTGCATCAAATTTCATGCGTATAGCATATCCTATAAGTATATCATATGATGGAATTTTTGTGGTTTTTCCTTATACAATTTTCATTTTAAATATCACCAGAGAAAAAAATCCAGTGGAGTGATATCTGGAGATTTTGAAGAACATTTCATACATCCTCTTCTACCAATCCAGTATCCGGAAAATACCGTATATAATTATTCACACATTTGTTGAGCAAAATAGGGCGGAGCACCATCCTGTTGGAACCAAATCTCATATCAGACTGACTTAGATTTGGAAAGAAACTGCGAGAGTAGGAATTAGTAGTAGTCATTTTTAATGAATTGTGATAAAAGAAATAAGATCCAATTATTTTGTAATTCAAAATCCTTGTGCAAACAATTATTTTTGTCCATTTTGTATATGCTTTTCTCTCACCTATCTAGAATTATTTCTACCCCAACACCTACAATTCTGTTTATTTACAGTACCATTTCAACAAAACGTGACTTCATCACTAAACAGTATCTGAAGATGAAAAAATGGATTTAAGTTGCACATTTACATCATAGTTTCACAAAACTGTGCTCTGCGGTCGAGATCATCCTCGTTCGGCTCCTGTATAGATGAAACTGTTCTTCTTTTATTGTTTCTTCTTTCAATACTTCTTCGTTTAATATACGTTCGTTGGCTTACATCATTATTTGAAGATACTAAGAAGATGCACCATGGGGACTAACCTCAATTTTTAATAAAATAATTAATCTTGTGTTCTCATTGGTTTTTGGACAACCTGGCCGTAGGCTATCCTTTACATGTCCTGTTTCTATAAATTTTCTTTCAATTTTACTCAGTGGATTCACTCACTGTTACTCATAATATCCATATCCAATAAAAATTAAAATTAAAATTAAATTAAATTAAAATTGCAATTCTCTGGGTTTTTAAATGGCGCATTTTCTTTATTGACAAAAACGTAATTGTGATAATTTTTATTCTTTTGCTCATAAAATGTAAGAAATATGTTTAGAATATGCTACATAAATTATGCGTCCAATTTGACACAGGATTCGAAAGTTGATTTACAAAAAGGGTGTTTCGTTTAAAAACAGGAACTTGTATAGGCATCTAGTTTTTGATTCACCTTGTGTATTTTATGACGCCTGCATACTACAAAAAATGATGGACGTATGCGAGAATTTGTCTTGAAATCCAATACCTAATTTTTCAATGAATTTGTTCCATACTTCACTAAAATTTTGGTCAAATTCAATTCAATGTGTTTATTTGACACTAGCGGAGCGCAGCCGAGCGAGTGTTTAATAAACGAGTGAGTTCAAAAGTTTGCCGAACGTACTGCATACTATACTTTTTCCTACGACCGTTAGTTTTTGGGTACATTTTCGCAAAATAACACGAATACATTTACTGAAATGACAGTCAAAATTGACAAACATCAAAATTGAAGGCGTGGGAAATATCTCCGAAAACATCCGATTGCTCCCAAACCCGTGCGGTAAAATCCCGGAAATGTCCGAAGTGACTCGGATCCGTGGGAAACGAAACTTCTGTGGTAAAGTGACGCTTCCCGCACGCTAGATCTGTGTGTAATTAGATCTTTTACAGACGGGAGTAGAAAAAAGGATTTTCTTTGCAGATAGTGCGGTGAAAAGTAAAGTAATAAAAGTATGAAATATTACAATTTATTCCGTTTTAAGATGCGCGTAGACTTGTGACAGAACACGCGTCGAAGTTCGCTAGGTTACTTTTTAAAAGTCTGATAAGTTTTTTTGGAAGAATATAGAAATGGCCCATAATACATTATTATGGCTAGTGGCTATTGTGCTGTCATATGAAAAATGTTTTCTTATTGTTGTAGGAAGTAAACTGGAAATGTTACAGAACGAAGAACGACTTAAGAATTTTGCCAAATTAAAGCAATAACGCTTTAAAATAACCCCCTCCAAGGCTTTCCAATTAGTTAATTATTTTAAATGCTGCTGAATTCACCAATATATTTCAATGAATAAAATTTGTATCTAACCCGGCACGGATAATAAACACACGAACATTCAACTTGCTATTCTTAAATCGTCTCTCTTTTATTTAGCGCACCATAGCGTCAGATCAATGAAAAGCGTCGACACAAAAATGATTTATTAGTTTTTCTACAAAATTTTCCAAGGCATAAAATAAAAAGTTTACATTAGTGAGGAAGAGAGCATTAACGTTTTGCACTTAAGTTCGGGTATATGCGGTGATAAATTTAGACAGAATATTTTTCAAATTTAAAACTGCCTATTTTCGGTTTGCTATACTCTTAATAGATCTTTGGGGCTCTTTGTACGAATCCAACTTACTGAGTATTTAGTCCAGTTAAGCAATGATTATTTTTATTATTATTATCATAATCGTTTCCATCACGTTTTCAGCAACTATGTTTTCTCTTACTTTAGTACTTTAGTCGCAGGTTTGGTAACCGGATATTTTCACTAGATTTAGCCTGATATTTTGACGTTTGCAATTTCTGATGGTCACACCGTACGTAACTGAGTACATTCAGTCGTGCTGTTTTGCAAAAAATTACCCAAAAACTAACGTTGTAACGGTCGTAAAAAAGTATAGCAAGCAATTAGCGTTTATATAAAATTCTTCATACACTCGCGTGTCGTTTATAGAAGCTTAATATACTATTAAAGCCCGTTTGTGCGAACCTAGAAATAATAGTTCGCTACCCCTATTAAAAATAATAACGTGCTCTTCAATTACTGGTTTTTGTTGCATTGGTTTTCATTTGTTCACATAATGGGTGTTTTTTTCGATGTATAGAACTTTAAGTTGGCATTACTGTTCAAGATGGCGACCGATTTAACAGCTGTCAAGTGATTTATTCTCAGTTTGGTTTGGTAATTCATCATGAATAGACTCACGCCTGAACAACGCTTGCAAATGGGCCCAAAACAAGATTGCTGTTGTTCCCGATTTTCATAAGCGAATTTTGTTTAGCCATGAAGCGCACTTCTGGTTGAATGGCTACGTCAACAAACAAAACTGCCGCATTTGGAGCGAAGCTAATCCTCAAGTGTATGTCGAAACACCGTTACATCCAGAAAAACTGACTGTTTGGTGCGCTTTATGGGCTGGTGGAATCATTGGTCCGTACTTCTTCAAAAACGATGATGTCCAGAACGTTACAGTCAATGGTGATCAGTATAAAGCTATGATTATTAACTCTTTCATTCCTCAATTGAATAACCATGATGTCCAGGAGATGTGGTTTCAACAAGACGGCGCAACATGTCACACAGCTCGTGCCACAATCAATTTATTGAAAGACTCGTTTGGTGACCGCCTAATTTCACGTTTTGGACCTGTGAATTGGCCTCCAAAACCTTTTAATTTAACACCGCTAGACTACTTTCTGTGGGGCTATGTAAAGTCATTGGTCTATGCGGGTAAGCCACAAACGCTTGACCATTTGGAAGACAACATTCGCTGTATTATTGCCGATATACGGCCACAAATGTTGGAAAAAGTCATCGAAAATTGGACGTCCAGATTGGACTACATTCGCGCCAGCGCACTGTGGACGCATTGCCCAAACTAGGTTGCATTAATTCGATTATTTTCTAGTAACTTAAAAACCTTAAACATTTTTATTATTTATTATTATTATACATTGCCGGTAAATAATAATACAATTTTTTTTTCAATTTTCCAGCGTTGCCACATTAGTATTTTTCGGAGTATATTTTAAAGATATACCAAAACTAGAATAAAAAAAATTGGAAGCATTTTGCAATTACTGCACAGTTTTATTCAGAAAGCTTCTGCAGTCACGTGAAATAATTTAACTGTATTTAAGGAACCAGAACACATACTAGTTAACAAATTCCAAATATATGAACTTTTTACCTAAATTAAATTAACTTATTGAAAATATAACTATTTTATTAAAACGACACAGCAAGCAAGAGATCATACAAAACACA